TATTTTGCTGGTCTGAGACTATTACATAGTCCTATACTAAACAGTGTTTTTTCATCAGACTATAAACCTCTAAATTTTCTATATCTTGTGATCAAAAAGAATACAAGATATAGCATGGAGAAGGGAGGAGGAATGGAGGAGTGCACTTGCTGTGTCTGTGTGTTTGTGCAAACGCACAGCTTACTAGCATACACAAGGATGCCTTCATAGGACCTGCAAGGTAAAGAAGCCACCCTAAAATATGATATCAGGGCCAGTGCTTTGGGGGACCAGCTTATACCACAAGAAACTAAAGCTTTTAAACATCAAGCAGCAGCATCCATTGCAAGTGATTTAAGCAGCATTTAAAATAGCTTAAAAAAAGGATCATAAATGAGGGATAATCATTATTGGTATTCTGCATTGCACCGTATAATCATTATACAGCGCAATGGAGAATACCACCAGCTATAGAGGACTACAAATCCCAGCAATAATAAATTATACAGCGCAATGCAGAATAACGCCAGCTACAGAGGACTACAAATCCCAGCAATAGTACACTATAGTGTACTATTGCTGCAATTTGTTGTATTCCTCTAAAGCTGCTGGTATTTTGCTTTGCGCCGCTGTATAATGTACTATATTCCACACCACACTTTTTTTTACTTCCACCGCTCCAAGCATGCTCCCGTGATGGACTACAATCTCAATACAAACTAGTAGTCCATCACTGGAGCCTTTTTTTTTATCCGATTAACCGATTAATCGAACTTAATAATCGGCCAACTAATTGATTTTGAAAATAATCGTTAGCTGCAGCCCTAATTAATTGTTATTAAAGTAACAGATCTACAGTCTGCTTATATGATATAGTACTTTTCTATATCAGTAAGGGAAGCTAGTGGTGGGATTGGGATGTTCATTTGAATTTGAAAATGTTTAACATTAATAACGCAAGAAACAAATAACTTGATTAAAAGAAGCAACTGAAAGCAGTCAAAGGCATAGTTTTCAAAAGCACTGAACAAGATTTAAACTTAATTCTTGGTTGAGGTCAGGTTTGAGTTGAAGCATGGCTATACTGCAACACTCAATATTTGCCAGCAGATGACAAGGGAACACAGCAGAGAATATCATGCTTGCTTTCACCTGGACACAAGAAGGTATATGTTTGGAATTGAGTCACTTTCCAGTCGAATTTCCTTGTGTATAAAATGATCTTCTTTTTAAAGCTGAACTCCATGCAAACAGCTAATCATTTATATAAACACATAGTTGAAATATATATTTTGGAGCTTTGTTACCTACCAAAGCATTTTTATTTCTGTCCAGCACTTTCTGAGATTTATACAACCTTGCCAGACAGCACAGCCAGGCTGGTGACCTGGCTTTTCTCTGTTGTATCAAAGCAACACAGCACAGTCACCTCCCTGCCACCAGCCTGTGTTTGACAGTTAAAGGAGAATTATGAGGTGAGTGAAAATCACTCTTCCTCATAGTTCGAGCCGACGTGTGACAATAAAACTGTCACACGTCGGCTCAATAGATCGGGAAGTGAGCGAACATATACCTCTAGATAGAGAGAGCCAGCTGTCACTCATGCAGCTGGGTGCATTTTCGACAGTAATGTCGGGATCCGTCCCGGCTGCGGCGGTCTCAGTATACCTTTGGGTCACGGGAGCTTTGGGTCACGGGAGGACAATAGTATATGTCCTCCCGTGACCATTAAGAGAACTATGGGGAAAAACACTAACAAATCATCTCTGCTTTCTCACTATGTCAGCCTGTTCCAGGCTAGCAAATCAGAAAGCAGGGCACCTGATTGGCGTCACATACTGAGGTTGATTTACTAATTGCAAATAGGCTATTCATTCCGCAAGGGGATTTGTACTTTGCATGGGAAATTTCCTTTAGATTAGTGAATGTAGTGAGAATTCACTTTGCAAAGAATACCCAATCAGTAAAAATATAGTATATTGATTGAATGATAGGAGTCAGCAGAGCTTTACCTAATTCTCTAAGCTAAGTGAAAATGCCCTTGCAAATTGAACAGCCTATTGGCCTTAGTAAATCAACCCCTATGACTGCAAGCTGCCCAGGCCTGGAAGCAGCAAAGCAAACCCAAATCAGGTTCTCCTATAATACTGTCTTTGGCTTGCTTGCCAACTGTTACTGTGGCTAAGACCTGGTCTTTGCCTACATGCTAAAAGGCAAATTGTAGCCTTGCTCTAATGCTCTTTTGTGACAGCAAAAGCTTTCTCCTGGCACACTTCCCATACAGGTTAAATTGGTGCAATCTCTTGATTGTAGGTGCATGCTTACAAAGTGTTATGTTATGATTAACAGATGTTATCATTATTAATGTATCATGTTGCCACTTAAATCTGTGCCAGTAAAATAGCTGTAAAAAAGGAAAACATATTCCTTTACTGTGTCCATACAACATATAATAGTCATAAAACATTGCTATACTTCAGTGGATCTTTAGAATGCTGACATTGCAGAATGGGCCTTTATATAAAATCAGATCATGTTTCACTGGATGCTGATATTGTGATCTATTGACTTACTGTATCTTCATAATGACATTGTCATTCTATGTAGATCTTGTGAATACTAGCTGAGTATATGATGATATCTGCTAATCCTTACATAGACACTGATATATAGTTGATGATTTTTTTTATTGTGTGCTAGTACATCAAGAGGCACTTGATCTTGATCTATCTACTGCCACATCAATCTAGGTGACTTGTTATGGTTAAGTTGTGTCATTTTGAATGGACTTACTATGGACCTGGATAACTTAATTCCTAATAAGGTGGATTCTATCAATTATTTTATACCGCCATACTATTCTAATCAAGGTCTTTTTTAAATAAGAGTTGTAAGCTTTATAATTTGTGAGTATATAAAGCTTACAGGTGGATTCTATCAATTATTTTATACCGCTATACTATTCTAATCAAGGTCTTTTTTAAATAAGAGTTGTAAGCTTTATAATTTGTGAGTATATATGGTACACATGTGAACTACGTTGAAATGTATATATAACCTAATAATGGCACTTTATGGTACACATGTCATTTAGAGCCCACCATAGACCATCTATGGTGGGCTCTGCAGGGTCACTCTCATGTGGGCTGGTCACACTCCTACACACCTCTTACCTGTCAGCCCGATCCGCTGTCAGGGTTCTCCACCACCCGGTCCCGCCTCCTCCTTGGTCACCGACGGGCCCCGCCTCCTCCTTGGTCACCTGCGGCCACCGGGCCCCTGCCTCCTCCACGGCAGCTGCTAGCTGTCACTGACTCAGCAGCAGCTGTGAGGAGGAAAGCACTGCTGCACAGATCACTGACAGGTTGTCAGTGATTTGGACAGTGGCGCGTTCCTCCTCACAGCAGCCAGTGACAGCCAGCAGTCTGAGATGCCATAGCGACCCATGGGGCCCGCATGGCATTAGGTGAACCCCTTGTTCTTAGTCCTGGCCTCCCTGTGCCCTGGGACCCATAGCGGCCACATGGGTCGCTATGATGATGGTTCCGCCACTGTCCCCTCCCCCCATTTCCTTTATACCATTTTATTGTTTCTCTCTGCAGTTGTAAAATTGCATACAGGTCCAGGCTGGAGGAGTCTACCCAAGTTGGGAAATCCTAACATAGCTATGAAATGGCAGAGTAGGATTTTAAAAGTGAACCTGATCTGGTCTAAACCTAAGTTAACCCCAGTGGTAGCCACCTTATGTTGCCAGCACGTACCGGTGTGAATCCTCAAATCTGTCTTTGTCCCTGTAAAACATTATTTAATCTTGGACCCAGACACACATGGGGTCTCAATATTAAAGGAGAATTAAACCCTTGCGGGTTTTTGCATATATTTACTGCTAGCAAGCAGCAGATATATGCAAAAACATAAAAAAAGTTTACAAAAAAGGTTAAAACTTACTTGTGCCTCCACAACATGCCGCAAAGTATCATGGGGCGGGTGCATGGGCAGTACAGATCTTCGGGCAGGGGAGAGAAGAGACACAGGGTAAGTTAATGCACCGAGGAACAGGAAGAGACAGGAGTCAGCGCTGGATCAGAGACTGGCACCAGCGCTGGAGGGACAGCTAAAAACGACAGCAAGGAAAAAGATGATCGGATCAAGAGGCATTATTTAAGGTAAGTCCTTACACTAGCATTAGGGGCGGGGGGGGATTTTTTTTTAACCTTCTGCCCCTAAGCCTCGCCCCTTCAATTTATTCATTTGAATGCCAGTTAAGTAAGGAAGGACAGGAAGGGGGTTAAGGCAGAAGTTGAAGTTCCATGTAACCTTGCTCCTAGGATCCCAGAGGTTTTAGGCCAAGTAGACTTCACTTATAGGAATATGGTGATACTTATAGCTAGCAGGGACAGTTACTTAAACAGCCAAAGCATGGGACTGATGGTAATTACTGATAAGAACCAGCATTTCTACAGTTCAGGTACTTGGCAAAATGCTCGAGATAGAGGATTGGTAGAAGAATTAGGCTACATATAGATGGCACCCTCTTCTCAGAAACACACACTGTTAGCCCCTACACATTTACTGTGAGATGACTTTCTGCCAACTGAAATGGCATAGAGGTGCCCTGCTGCCAGTCCGGTCTCACGAAAAAAAAAAATTGTTCTTGAAATGCTGATCACATGCTTAAGGGAGCAGGCACCTTATTAAAGATCTGGATAGAACAATAGTTTTCTATGCAGTGATAGAGGATAAGGAAGGTTGAATACATTTAGGTATTCATTTTAGCATGATGATTTTGGTCTGTAATTTGTCACTTCTATAGTTAAGATAAATAAACATTCACTGGCTGAATAGTAATCATTTTACCTAATTGGTCTAAAAAATTAATTCTGTCATGATAGCTTGATTGGTATTTGCTTGTCAAATTTAAAAACCACCTTGGAAATCTATGTGCCATTTCTATAATGATTGCATTTATTTGTATCTTATCCTATGTGCATAGTATAATTCCTGTTTTTGTGTTTTATCAGGACAAGATGTCATCTTGGCACACAGTTGTTTTATGTATGGGCTGCTTTTTCCTGCTAATTCAAGGGAGACCAGCAAAGGAAGAGTTTGGTGTTAAGCCTTTTTCACCATTTATCAGACTACGGCACAAGGTAAAACAAATCTTTATTCATATATGGATCAGTGTTAAATGTATACACAGTTGCAATATATTGCTACTATGGAAACTAAGCTTGACGAAAAGTGGGTGGGGGTAAATAGCCCTGTGACCCAAGTAAGCCTGGCTGGTGCTAATTTTGAACTGCTGCCAAGGCCATACCATTGGAAGTCCAAAAGTAAGAGTTTGAAACGTGAAAGGCTGCACTGGATTATTGCAGGCATTACTTTCAACTGACAAAGGGGTCTATTCACGAAGCTGCCGAGGGCAGCCGAGTGAATGACCGATCTGAAGTGAAGTGAGCCGAACACTGTTCGGCTATTCACTTCAGACTGGTACGGCTAATTTCAGCCGTACATCGGCTGAAATCAGCCGTACATCGGCTTGCTTCGTGTGGCTTCGGGTAAGTGGCCGGAGCCAGCCGTAAGATCACGGCTGGCTCCGCCCAGCTGTCAGAAGCAGGCCGAGCAGCCGGCCGCTCAGCCAGCTTCGGCTTTCAGCACGGCTCAGCTGAGCCGATGCATATGCGTTCGGCAAGGCCGAGCCGCTCGGCCTTGATCGGGAGCTGTACGGGTTATTGTGAATAGCCCGTACAGCAGGCTCTCGGTTCGAATTAACCGATGGACTCCCGTAACCGAAGCTAGCCGAAGGATCGGCCGAAGCTACGGCTAGATCCTTCAGCAGCTTCGTGAATAGACCCCAATGTCATACAGGAGGTTGATATTAAGTAATAGTCATATTCAGACATATTCTTAATTTAGTATTTAAGAACATGATCTTGAATTGTTTCACACAAACTACATAATTTGATAAATAATTGTACCTGTTCTAACAGAAAAATATTTATAGTCTATTTGCAAGCGTGAGTATTTATCGGCTAATGTTCTTAGTAATCATTTTACCGTAACCAAAGCTTTCATTACAGAGATTTACAGGTAAACTGGAAACCCCTTTTGTTCCTGGTCCCCTCTATTTAGTAACTCTAGGATGCTGTGAGAGGTGAGAATCCCTCTACTTCAAAGAGTATCCAGCTCAGGTTGATTAATCAAAAATTGTTACAGTTTGGAGAATCACAGCTGTAAAGCATAATGCTGCTCTTACAGATAACAACATCTATCTGTAGCTCTACATAACATTCAGTAAAAAGAATCACTACATATTCTGGCATAATGCTTCAACTGATGCAAAACCCTTTACAAATCCACTGTGACAAATCCCTGTAAAATAATGCATAGGGGACAGTGAAACATAAATTTACAATAATGTGACAGGCCGGAAGATGTAGACATTGATGTTGTATGTTGCAACAATATCTCTATATTTTTGTTACCTTCAGATTGGTATTCATGTATGGATGTATAGGAGGGGTATGTTAAAATACAGGAAACCTTGAATCCACAGAAAATATTCACAGTTTATTAATAATATCCCCTTGCTGTAAATTGCATGGATACTCAGACTCATTGAGGAGTTCAGTTATTTCAAATAACGGCACAAGACCGCAGCATTTTAATGGTGCCAGAACTCTGAAGGGAATCCTAATAGAACCAAAATTGAAGCCATCAATGAAATATGAAAGTCAAAGCTGGAAACATGAATTAATTATGACAGCTTTAAAACTAGAACATAAACTGGCACTGTTGTCAAAAGTATACCAAATACAGTTCCCTGCAAAATAAGAGTTATTATGCTGGTGGCCTGTGTATCCAATCTTTGCTTCGTGGAAACACTACAGCTTCCAGGAGTGTCAGATGCTTGGGTCCGTCACTATGGTCTGGGGTTTAAGCAGTGAGGTAGTGGTCAAAAGATGGAGCCACTGTGGCAGAGAAGACACTTTCTCTTGCAGTGAACTGCTTTGACTATTTTGGCAACAGCAGTGTTGCTTTAATGAAAAAATAAATAGTGATGGAAACCCTAATAATCTATTAATGCAGGTTTTCTTTAAAATCTCCCTAGTGGTGAACCAGACAGAAATAAAAACCTGGTAGATATATGAACCTTTACCCTACTTAAAAAAGTGTTTTGATTGCTGTATGTGTTGTTGTTAAAGAGATTTCCCATTTCTGGTTACTCACAGTAACCAGTTAGCCAATGGAATTACAGACAGCATTAAAAACCTGATTGATGTTCTAACCTCATACTACTTTAGTCAAAACGAAAACATTTTTTTTTTTATAACATGTCAATTAATTTTGAATGTTCTGATTGTAATATCACATTATGGCCACTAGCTAGAGCTGAGGAGCATAAAAAACATATACTTATTTTGTATGCTCCTTAAGCACCATCTAGAGGCTATAATGTGTAATGCAATTAGAACATTCAATTTTTTTTTACACTTATAAAGGAAAAAACTAAAACACGCACATGATGAACATTCACAGATATTAACAGGGCAAACAGCCCTGCAAATTGTTTATAAATGAACCCTGTAGTGTAGATTACATTTACTTACCTCCTTTTAAAAACTGTAAATTTGACAACCCAGCCCTGATGATTACAGCAGGAATGCAGTTTCCCTGTAGTCTGCAGAGCTCCACTGTCAAACTGAATCTTTTAGATTGTAAGCTCTCACAGGCAGGGCCCTCCGTACCATCTTGTCTTGATTTGTATTGTAATTGTAATGTCTTCCTTATATTGTAAAGTGCAGCACAAACTGTTGGCGGTGTATAAATCCTGTATAATAATCATCATAATAATTACAGTGGAAGGGTCACTCTCCCGATATAATGTGGGTGCTTATGAACACTAAGAGCTGGAAAACCTCCCACCCTGGATTTGCTCCTCCCCCACCACAGCTATTGAGACAGTAGCTTAGCCAATGTATAATAATTTGTTGGGAGCGAGAGACATGCTCACGCTCCTATTCCCCAATCCGACCACTCAGCCATCTTCTACTTCCCAGCCTGCTTCTAGCAGCAACACCCCAAGCACCCATTGTTTAAGCTACTGCTCAGAAGTAGTCCTTGTTGCTAGGTAGTGGGTCAGCTCCATCTGCTAGCTTTCTCTGTATTAAGTGGTAGCAGTCCCACACCCCCAGTTCTCTTCTTGATTGGCTGCATGCTGTAGCTGTTTTTGAGCAGCAGGGCTCTGGGCTTGTGATAGCATCCTACATCTTAGCTCCTTTGCCCTTCCCTTACCTGTGAATTTCCTGTCTCTGGATTATGCTTGCTTGCTGCCTGCCCTGGCCTCGGATTGTCTCTGGATTATGCTTGTCTTCATCCTGCCCTGACCTCGGATTGTCTGTGGATTACACTTTGTCTGCTGTCTGCCCAGGCCCCGTGTTCGGTTCATATTCGAACTGAAAAGTTTGAATACGAACTCAAACCTAATGCAAGCGAATGGGGGTCGAACTTCGAAAATGATTGTCCCCTTTGAGAGGGCTTATATGCAAGTGATTCACCATAAAAGGTGTATGGGGGGGCGTGGCCGACTGGCGTGCGAGATGGCGGCTTAGAACCGATGCTCCGTACACCCACAGGCCTGGGCTTATCAAGAAGCGATGAGCGGGAGATATACCGGCCCCTAAAGCAACTGCCGGTATCCGGACTCACCCCTGGTCATGTTCCGCAAGTGCAGGAACGGCTCTAGACCCCGCAAGGTCACGGATTTCTTCTGGCAGCCTCAGCCTCGGGCTGCGCAATATGGCGGCGGCGGCACTGCTCCTCCATCCACGTCTCCCTCTCAGGGCTCTGAGAGGTCAGAGACATCCTCGCATTCTTCACAGGGAGGGGGGAAGGAGAACGCCCAGCAGCGCTCCTCTCCGGCGAAACAACGGCCATCAACATCTCCAGCCATGCGGAGCCCTGCAAAATCGAGGCCCCGGCGTTCGGGCCTAGTGGAGGAGGTAAGCTGGATGATACGAGGGAACTATTTGCTCCCATTGAGAATTACCCCACAGCTAACTAGCCCCTTTCAAACACCACCCTTAAGGATATGCTGGTATCCCTGAGAAGTTCCTAACTCCGGGGTGTTCTCCTGAAGTTTTTTTTTTTTTTTACCCTAAAGTGTGCAGTTCCCCCTCCCAAACAATACTAGACCTTTTAGGTCTGGTAAGATATGTTAGGCGTGACCAATTTAAAAAAAAAACTGCGTATGGATCCGCTTAAAAGTCATACGAGGCCCTTGAGTTCTGGTAGGAATATTTAGGAAGGGCCCCATGTAAAAAACAAAAAACAAAGTGTGTGGGGTTCCTCTTAAAGTCATACCAGGCCCTCAAGGTCTGGTAGGAATATTTAGGAGGAACCCCATGTAAAAAAAACAAAACAAAGTTTGTGGGGTTCCCCCCTAAAGTCATACCAGGCCCTTAAGGTCTGGTAGGAATTTTAAGGAGGAACCCCACCCCCAAAAATGGGGTAAAAAAACATGGCGTCCCCACTAAAATTCCATACCAGACCCTTTATTTGGGCGGAGCTGGCGGCGAACGACCGATGTTCGATTCAAACTCATATTCAAATCGAACACTCGGACCATCCCTAATGGTGATCACCTGCCTAGACCACTGCCAGTGTTCAGCCTGTCCTACGCAAACTCTCCAGCAGTGCTCAAGCTCAGGCTTTACACTCCAAAAGACCACAGGTACTCTTTCCTGGTACCTTCACTCAGCTCCTCATGCCACCAACCCAGAAACTATAGCATCACATGCTAAGACTTGAGGGCAACTAAGTACTGGCCCACCTGCTTGCATTATGGGAAAGGGGGCTGCTGTAGGCAGAAGATACACCCGCTAGGTATAATTTCTGACTTCTGGTGATAAGGGAAGTGTTACAGCATTATAATGCTGCTGAAGTCCCTTGTGTGCTCCCTGCCTATAGAAAACTGCCTGAGCACACCTCCCTCCATGCTGGAATGCATGGAAACATGTTAGACTGACAGCACTATGCAATGCAGTAGTTTATGTATTAGATGGGGAGTACAAAGTTTATTTCATAAGGAAATACACTGCTAGAACATTTATTTGGTACCTAGTAAACTCTCTGTAGATTTATTTAAAAA